ATCGTAAAGTATCAATAAGTAACAATTCTGGACCGAAAAGGGTCATTTTTGTTTCGGCAAAGAAGTGTAGCACAAACTTCATAACACTGTTTTTTTTGGCCATGGTTTTGGACACCAAGTGAGTGGAACCTAACTTTCAAGCTTTTTTACCTTTCCAATCGCCTTGAGGTGGTCATCGACAGTCGATTTGCTAAGGTTGTTTCCCTGCAAGTTCTGAAATAATTGTTCTGAGATTTTCTTCTACCCAAGCCCACAGAACATCATCATCCACGACTTTCTTTGTCTTCATGGTTGAAGTCTCCCTCCAGAAACTTTTTGAACCACTGTTGAACAGTGCACATTAATTTTCTTCTCGTTCCTGACTTGATTGATGCTTCTGGCTGCCTGGGCACCATTCTGGCCAAATTTAAGCTAGTAAAATAAAATCATACGAAAATCATGCCTTGATATCTTAGAAAAGACTGAATTATTTCTAAGCAGCGAAATGCTACAGAGGTAAACAAACATTATCGTTTGGAACAGGATTAATAAGTTTTGACATTCGTATAAATGAATAATCCAGTAAACATAAAGTTTGTTATATAGAGGGATTTAAAAACAAAAAAATCAAAATCCTGCATTATTTTCCAGATAACCCAATAGCAAAGATTTGTATTGAGGAATAAAATACTTGAGAATAGAAAATATACAGTGACCTAAGAAATCATTACATTCAAAATATTAAAAAATAATTCTAATATTTTAAAAAATGTAAAATACTGAAAGAATTAATTTTTTTTTGGAAAGATGTATAATGCATTAACTGCTTCCCACAACTACATTTAAAAATGTAAATTATATAAGGGTAGTAACTATAAACAATTAACAATTAGGACTGGGGAAAAAATAAAATGAACAAGGACATGGGATGAGAGAAAAATATTTTAATCAATTTAATTTATTATTCTAAAATAAATCATAACCATTCTCACTATTACTAAATTTCTTTAAATAAGTTTTATGAGAATGAAGCTGAAGTCCCCCCAACCTTCCTTCCATAATAAAAACTTAAATCTAAGAATAAAAAGAAAATTATCATTTGAGTCATGCAGAAGTTGAATACTGAACCATACTTAAATCAATATGGTTCAATTGTATTGCTAACTTGACATTTTTAAAATGCAAGAGCAATTCCAAATCAGAAAAGACAATTCATTCCTTCTCAAACATAAACATTAAAATTCAACCTAACTGACAACTAGTATCTCAACATTATATGATAGACATTCATTCATTAAAAAATAAAACAGTCCATTTTCATCGAAGAATTACTTTATCAATCTTCACTGTGGTGCTGAATATTACAATATGGCTTAAATACATCGAAGGAAACATACATGATGTCTTCAAGTCATATTTTAAAATAAAAAATGTATTAATTATCATTCCACAGATTGGAACTACCTTCAACAATCAAAAATTTGTGTTCACACATAAAACAAAATCCAAGGAACCATCTTACACAAGATAATTAATTCAATTTGAAGATTTTTTATAATTAAATATGTGTAAAAACATTTCATTTTAAAAACAAAAATCAATAGATTAAAGCAAATACTGAAACACTAGAACATTTCTAAATAAGAGTGAAAAAAATTTGTAAAATAACTGATCACTCCACAAAAACATTCACAGATTTTAAAAATATTCCTTTTGAAAACCACCAACGTATCTATTTACATTTTTCTTTATATATAAATTGATATATCAAAAATAAATCTAAGAACATGTAAAAACACCATGTTTAGTGAACGAATCAATTTTATTTAATTTATCATTTTAGAGACAGATTTAAATTGTTTCTTCCTAAAATCATGATTTAAATATTTATCAAGGGTGTTAAAACTTTCAATTACTAAGTTTCATAACATCAAATGCACTTCCCTTAACTTAAAAAAACAAGATACTTAATAAAAATGACAAAACTCAGTTTTTGAAATACAAAAATTAATTATTTAAATATAACAATTAAAGCTAATACCACTGGAAAACATCTGATTTTATAATGGAATTTAATAATAAAATTTCTTGAAATTCATGAGTCAACTGAACTTTAATAATAAGAGAAAATGAATTTTATGACACCATTTACGGAGGTTTTAAGACTGTATTACTACTGTTCTCTTGGTAGGTACAGTAGCTATCATTATACTAAACCTTACATGATATTAAAAAAAGTTAAAATTTATAGCATTTGTATTTCACAAACTTTTTATATGCAAAATTAGAAATACAATGGAAGAAACTTTTTATCTACAGATTTATACATAAAATGTGAAATATTAATAAATTATCACAAGCCATAACAATAGAAATAAATGAGGTTCATCAGATAGATATTTAAAATTTTCTAATTTTTTAAAGATTTTCCCAATGATATGGGAACAATATTATGTTTGGTCGGTAAGAAAATAATAAGTTTAATCATCTTTGAAATTTTCCTAAATGGTTACAAAATAATTTTTGGTTGCATGATAATGAAATATGAATACTATGGAAGAGCTTCTAATTAGCTAATTCATAAAAAATTATACAAAACAGCTATATTACTGTTAGAGCATGGTATAACTTCTTCAGTTTTTTTTACTTTTTACAAGTTTTGGCTAGGCTATATAATAACCATATAACAGTGGTAAATTTCTTTAAAATATATTTTCTCTCCTTGAATAAAAAAATGCACTATTCATTTAAAAAAAAAAAAGAAAATTACCATAGTAAAATAATATATTATATTAAGAATGTTTTCATATTTCTATCTAAAATTAAGGCTTTTTTCAGGCACTACAGACTAATTGTTGGTTGGCCTGGATTCAATCTGGAGATTTTAATCAACTTTACGAAGGATTTCATTTATAAAAAAACAAATATTTATTGACATTATAATAAAGCTAATATACATAAAACAAACCAGAAAATTAAACTATTCAATGCTATATGTTAGTCCTATTTAAAATCCCCCAATACAAAATTACCCAAACCCATGGAAGATTAATCCATATATTCAACGATAAAGATCATAGGTTATGCAGAAAATTAATTCAAATTTTTTATTGAAAAAAAAATATGACTAGTTTAAACGGTGTAGCATGACTAGACAATCTGAAAGTGATCACCATCCAGCAATGATAAATATTTTTAATTCCTATTGAACAAAAATCAATAAACAGTTCATCTAATCATTTGAAGAAATTTAAATAGTAAGACAATGCTATTTCAAATATAGGTTAGGATCAAAATTTTATATCATAAAATAAATTTAATAGTATCAAGTTATGTATTCAAGACTTTAGAAGAAAATCATGGAATTTAAAAGAATAATACTACAAAGTTATTTTTTAAAAACTATAGGAGAAAAACCTATTTAAAATAAAATTAATATTACAGATTTAATAGAGTTAGGCATTCTTGACATGCGAAGGATTTTTAAATAATTAATGGAAATAAATATTTTTAAAAAAAAGGTAATATTATAAAACATTCCTGAAAAAAACAACACATTGCATTAACATACCATTGCAGAAAAAATGAAAGATTATAAATCGGACAACTGTGTCATTAAAAAGAATCAATCATCTAAGGAAGATAGAACTTTTATTACTACAAATATCTTTTTCAACCATACCCCTCCCGCCCTTACGATGTTCAACCTATAAACATTAATGTAACCAATCTGCTTTAGAAATATTTATAGAAAGAAAACTGACATAAAAAACATATAAAAAAAAAGATGCAATTAGTGCACCAACAATTGATGGATCTAGGGTTGAAAGATACTTTTTAAAATTTACAACCAATACACTGATTCAATTTCTTTCATTTTTCAGAACTTATATCTGGCAGTTATGTCCCTCAAAAAGATTCATTTCGTATATATACATTTTTGTTAACATTGAAAATATATCCAAGTGGTGTTAAATAGTTATGAATTGTAATAAACATCAAGTGACAGCATCTGGGACCACCTTGAGTAGAAAGAGTATATAAATATTAAAAAAACACTGTTGTGTACAATTTTTATTAAGGTTTCCAAGAACATTTGGAAGACAAATAAAATAAACGTTGAAGAGATTTCTGATGCCGGAAGACTATAATTACTATAAAACTGGAAGTATTTAGAAATCCTAATTTAACGGTTGTCTTCATAATTAACATTGGAAATTTTATTTTGAAAAATCCCTGAAATCATTTTATATAAGCAAATATTTTGTTACTCCATCAAATAATTATGATTGTAGAAATAATTATCCAATTATTTCAGGTCAAATAAATAAATTTAAGACAAAGAAACACAATTCACAAATAATAACTTCTAAAAATAGAATTTACAATAATTAAAACATCATTTTTTAAAAATGTTATGGCACCTATGATTTTCATCTAAAAAACTGAAAATTAACATCATTTCTGTGAAATTCCTTATCTGACAGGATACATGTGTTATATGTAACTATGAATGAGAAAGAAAAAAAATAGGTAAAATCTTTAAATTAAGCATTTAAAAAAATGGCATAATGGTACTCTCTCTGATATTTTAAACAAATGATTAAAATATGTTAAGAAATTAAGAAGCTTTCAAAAATGCAGCACAATGCAGAAAATCAACTATACTTCAAATACTTAAGAAACAACCAGTGCATAAAACAAATAATTAAAAACACTATTGACAGAAATTTATTTATAATGGTTCTTAATAAGAATACACACTGCAATGCAATATAAAAAAACTTTTCAAATCGAAACATACACTAAGGTATATTTTAAATATATACTAAGATCATACAGTTATATGGAGTTCAAAGCAATATAAAAACAACTAGCCAAAGACACGGAAAGAAACTAAATTATAAAATATAACAAGAAAGGGGATAATTAGAAATGATAGAAATAATCTCCATAATTTTCTTGAATGATAAAATTAAAACTGAAAAAATGGGAAAAATTAGGCATTGATAATAAATTGTTGATAGCACATCACTACAAATTTATTATTAACTGGACTGGATGAGAAGAGAACAGAACTTATAATATTAAAATAGAAACTAATACAAATCATATTAGCATAAGTCAAATTAGAATTAAGGGTTTTAAATAATCATACTAAAAAAAAAGAAAATAAATAAATAAAAAAATAAAGGCAAGAATGAATGAAAAACTATGTAATATTATTAAACATTGTTCATTATATATATGTTCTACACATAAACTGGTTTAATAATTATTAAAAATACATACCAAGCAAGAAAATGTTTGTTTTTAGTCTATTAAACATTAAAATTTTACTAAACAAACAAAAGATTAAAGCTGATGTTATCTCTGTCACTTACTCAAAAAGAGCCTATTACTTTCAACTTTATGCAATGTTAAATATGTGACAACAGTATCATCAAGCCTCATTTGATTCAACACCCGATATTTAAAAAACAAAAACCCTATTATTTTATCAGGAGAAAACTATTTCACATACATAATTTATATTCCTCTCATCTCTCTCAAAAATTGACATTTTTAAACAAATATGGAAAATTTTGGTATTTTTTTAAGAGGATTCATAGATCAATTAAGGACACTTGAAATAATGTTATCTGAGCACTTCTGTGCAATAAAAATGTATGCATCAATAAGTAAGCAAAAGAATTACCTATGATCTGTCATAAATTTAGAATAGACTATCTAAAAATATACTATAATCTAACTACGGTAAGACAGTAAACTGTCAAAAGAATCAATTAATAATCTTGTTCCATTGTATCACGCTCGAAAATCTAATCTAAAAAAGTATCCAACATTTTATCTTTGTAAGGACTCTTCTCACTGTAAAACATTTGAGACAGAATCTTGGGATTATTTGAATGTTATTATAGGTTCTTGAACTTAAAGCATATCTATATTCATTAAATTTTTATTTTCCTATTTTATGAGGGATGCTAACGATAATAGCAATTTATCGGTATAACATTAAGTAACAAAAAATATCATTAATCTGTTTTAAGTTAAATTATTGATACCATACTTTCATTAGAAAATGAGGCCTTATTTATTATTCGAATTCTTGGGCATAAATATAAATTAACCAAAAACCCTTCTTAAATAGGTATTGGTAATATTATGTAGGTCTAATCAATTACTGAATATTTCTTTAATAAAGAAAACTCGAGGATAGCAACCTAAACTAACATAATAATTAGTTTACTTAGGTTAAATAAATAGATTAACAAACATTTTAATAAGTGTCATGATCAAATACAGTTTTGAATATTTTTAATTTATTAAGAAGACTTAAGGACCATATTTGGGACCAGGATCAGGTGATGGGTTACCGCACTGAGTGAGAGAGAGAGACCTTGAAATAAAAGTCAAATATTTCTCAAAATAGTAACATCCAAACAGTATGAGAGAAAGATAAAAGGAAAAAAAAAATAAGTTGAGCATAAGATGAAATAATGCAAACGCAGACTGAAGAGTAATAAAACAGTTTACACACATAATTAACTTCATTCACCAATTAGTAAAAACATAATTAAATATTGAAAACTAAGGCAAAACCAAGTTCATATAATATATTCCAATTCATTGATCAACATCAAAGTAAATAAATAATTCTAATGATATAATTTTGTCTTAAACTTTTCTATACAGTCACATTTATGTCATAGTACTTCAAAAAATCTTGCCTTTACCTTTTTAAAGGAATATGACTACTTGGAACCCTGAGTGCCTTGGATTGACCTAGGATAGCTTGTATCTAATGGTGTTTATATAGTAACTATATTAATTTAGATTTTTTCAAATTATTGCCAATTTAAGTATAAACTGATACCAGATCAAGAAGTTATACCATATACAAATTTTTTCATAATGTGTAAAATATCTGATATTCGTATTTCATTCCTTTTTAGTTCTATCCTTAGAATCCCAATCATTACATTACAAAAATAAACAAAGTTAACAACAACAAATTAAAAATAACAAAAAGAATTAATTTCATAAGTAAAAAAAAATATAAAATATTGGCCACCCTAATTGCTCACATACATTTCAATCTTTAATTAATAGTCTTATTAAATGGCATATGCATTTATGCCCCAAAATTTTCTATCACAGATTTATATCTTACCAGACTTACTTATGATTCATAGAACATCAGGAATTATGAATAATGAACAGTTAAATAAACTGTTTTCATTTGATTCTTCTTTTTTCTCTCTCTTTTTTTCAATAACTAACTTCATATAGGAAGCAAGCTCATTAAATTTAACAATCATTACTAATCAGAATATGAAATTATGGAAAATCCTTTACAAAAAAATCAAATTAAAAAAAAAAGAGAGAAAAAAAAGGAAAAAATGTAAGTTGAGCATAAGATGAAATAATACATAAGCAGAATGAAGAGCAATAAAACAGTTTACACACATAATGAACTTCATTTCATCAATAAGTAAAAAGACTAAAAACATATTTACACATTAAACACTAAGGCAAAACTAGATTGCCAATCGTTGTTCTTTCCCCATAATCAAATGGGACAAACAGTCCATAATACACAGAAAAACATAACAATGTATGTAAACATAAATAAAATTGAATTTGTAATATAAATTAAAACAATCACAATCGAATAATGTCATTTAAAATTTGTAATGTAAACTATAATGTTCTTTGTAGTTAGCTTTCTGGTTTCCCAGGACCAAAAAATAACTATTATTGCTTATAAAAGCAGTTAGAATGGATGTTTGGCCACGCAGCTTTTCATTGATTTTATTTCATTGTCTATAGCCATGAACACTTAGTACATTGTTGGCAGGTGCAACGTAATCACCTATCATCAAGCTATTATTTACTGGAAAATGTGAAGAACTGGCTATCATAAGCTGGCTAGCCTGAAAAGAAAGATTGAAAAATTAGTATAATAAATTTTACATAGTATTTAGTGAATAAAGAAACATATTCCAAAAATGGGAATATACTTAATGAATTGTCTCATAACAATGTACTTTATTTTTTAAGTAATTATATTAAAATTTGGAGTCTAATGGCTCTATAGAATGACTATTTCAAATCACTCATAACTTAGCTGAACCAATGAACACAGTCTATTAAGTTATACTAGCAATAGCTTATGTTAGAAGTACTCCCCATCACAATTCAATACTTAGCTTAAATTATTCAGGATAAATTTTATTCAGAATGTAAAAAAAAAATTGACTTTTAAACAACTTATAATTACTACAAATATGCCAGAGAAAAAACATTATCAACATTTAACAATGATTCATGCAATTTAAACAGTAGAAAAAGAGAAAAGAAATAATTGCTGACATGAGTGGGTCATTGCAAAAAGAAATATTGATTTACTAAAAGAAAACATGCAAAATTAAAGATACTAAGATAAGGAACGAATCTAAAATTTTGAATATCATAAAAAACAAAAACATAACAAGCTTAAACAATGAATGCATTTAGTTTTGACCTGTTTTCCTTAATGCAATAACTATTTCAAAGATAAAATCAGAGCTGAACTAATTTCTATAAGTTGGCTTGGTGTGGAAATGGTTCTCATGATTTGCTATCTAGAATTTGTAGTCAAAATGGAAAGGATTGTGAACTTCTGTAAGAAATTAAGAAATATAAAGTGGATGTTCATGAAATCAATGAAGGAACAAAAAACACAAGAGTGAAATTAAAATACAGGCCTATTTCCATCTCTTTTAATACTCGGGTACTGACAACTATTCGAGGAGTTAAAATATAGAGGCGTAGAATATTAGTTTCAGAAAGGCGTATGTTTCTACTATTGACTGACAATAGTTAAATAATATTTCAACAGAACAGGGAACACCAGAGATATTAATTAAATTAGCAAAGAGGGACAAATTAGGTTTTCAGAAATTTATGGATAAAGCAAAATCCATGGATAATAGAAAAAATGTTGTTTTTTAATAACAAAATTATTCAGTTTGTGTCAATTGTTCAGATTCTGAAAGAAACGAATTATATAACTATACTTCCTACTATTCTTAGTAGATGTAACACATGATCGATTATATTAAGGGGAGTACAAAGCCTTAATAATTTTTACGCTTAAGTATTACTCAAAACACCTGAACTAAATATAAACAATTCAACTTACACAAATTTAGACAGCTACACGACAGAATTATGTGACCAGCAGTAGTTAAAATATAATTGAATTAACGGCACTAGAACAATTATTTTTAAAAGTAGATAAAATTGAGGAACATATCACCAACAAAATTATCAGTCCTGAAATGGAGTGAAGACAGAAATATCTAGTGAGGATTGGATTAGGTCTGATCTTGTCAATTCAGGGATTTCAATAGAGTTCAAAGATATATGTAGGCAATGATTGCTACTGGTATTGCCTTCAAATCTCCAGGTTTCCAAAGCCTTATTATTATTATTAAATAGGGGATACTATATGTAATACTATTTCCATGTATCAGGATTAATTCTCCTCAAGAGTGAAGTGCTGGTTAAAGTGGAATCTAATAACAGACTCATGAATAATGCAGACATAAAAACCTACTAATACATTTCTCTATGAAAGATAAAAAATAAGAAAAAAAATTAAGAGGGTATCATAAATACATACGGTAGCAGGACCAAACATTGTAGGTGTTATAACCCCAGCTGCATTCATACCAGGAACTGTCTGTGAACTTTGACAAAAGCCCCCACGCTGTCTGCCAGTACTACTTATCGAACCAGGATGGATATTAGGTTGAGAAACTAAAATGAAGTAAATAGTTACAGAGTGCACTAACCATAATATTGAATTATAATATTTTTAACATAAAAAATAAGAGTTTACACTTGTATATTTGTGTTAATACCTATATATAACAATATATATTATGACTTTTCTAATGCTCACCAAGGCCAATTAAGTTTGCAGCATTTTGATTAGCAGAAACTTCTAATGAAACCTCTCCCAGTCCATTAACAGATATGCCGTTAACCATATTAACAGCTGAAAATTATAGTAATGTAGTCAGTCAATTCTGGGTGATAATAATAAAATTGTTTGGAGATCTTAATTCTTTATGAAATCATTTTATCAGAATTCTTATTTTAGATAACAGGCCCTCAAAAACAAATAAATAAATAAAAGAAATAAAAAGGCAATGCCAGTATTAATCAATGATAGAAAAATATTATCTATTTTGTCATAAGCAATATCGAAATGGAGGCACTTGTACAAATCAAACAAATAGAAAGAATAAAAATAACAGTTCACAGCTTGGATTTAAGACTTATCACCTCTAATAAATAACTATTCTATTAAAATGCAATATAATTAAACAGCCTGAAACCAGCATGACTCAACTGTAAAAATCAGAAACAAGAAATATGCCTTACTGAATTCAAAAACAAAAATGGTCAGTTAAATCAGAATTGGGAATATAATCAAATTATTAAACAACTCTTGCCTAAAGGGAGTTAAAAATTGAGCTCTTTAAAGTGAATTAAATAAAAATTCTTCATAATTTATAATTTCAAAATTAACAGCTAGGATCTTTCACAGCAAAAGCTAAAGTATTAAGGATAATTTATTATTAAATATCTTCAAACAGATTGAAAAGAAACTTCTTAATAACTTAATTAGATGCAAATTTAAAAAGAGAGGTTTTGAGTAAAGTATTTAGCCAAACAAAGAAAGATTTTATCACCAGTCATAACAATAGAAGTGGAAATAGGATTTTTTTTTTTTAAATTAGAAGCAATGTTGGTTATTCAGTTAATATACCTGGACAAAATTCAAGCAAACCGGTGTCATTAAACAAATATAAATATGAGAAAGACATGAAGAATACATTTAAAACACAAAGAAAAAAGATGAGAAGTAATAACAGCAGTAGTATGAATTATCAAAAGCCAGAGAAATAACCAAATAAGCACATGAATTCAATATAAGCATAATGTATCAGCATAATAATAAGGCGAAAACAAAGTTTTTTAATATTAATTTTTCACTATAAAGGATTTCCCAGATATCAAACAAGAAACTCAATCAAAAGGAAAACATTCAAAACAACACAAAAATGTGATATAATATTCATCAGACATTTTTCTGACTGACTACCATTTTTCCAGCATTTAATTTTATATAATAAAAAAAATATTTGAAATTTTAAAATGAAAAAGGAAAAAAAAGAAGTAATTATTTCACCAATAATTATTCAAAATTCCATAAACCCTACAAATATATAAGTGTTCGAAAATCACACATTTAAAATGAAATAACCTAAAAAACCATAACCTCAGTTTTAACCAAAATAATGACCAATAAAATTCATTATACTTATACTATACTAATAATTAGATTAAAAACAACAATAGCAAAATAACTACCTTGCCTGGCACCCTGGGCATCTAGCTGACTCCAATATGCTTCACTTGGAGATGTTGTATTGGTACCCGGAGGGGGAACAACTGGTTGTCCTGTGTACCGAAAATATGGATTTTTCAGATCTAATGTATTAACAGATCGAGCTCCTTCAACACCTTCAATCGACAAATCAATGGTAACATCATAGCTCTGCCTATATGACAAACAAACACAAAAATGATAATATTTATCTATTATTAATAACTAAAATCTAATTCAGAAACTAAATGTAGGAATAAAAATGAACTAAATTCATGAATAATTATCATAAATACAAACTAAATGCATGAATAATTAATTACCATACATTCAAAGGAGAAAGTATGTAGGGCTAACAGCTTATTTAGCAATTAGTATGATGACATATTGATAAGTGGTCAAGACTTCATATATGGAAGACTTATAATACGGATGGGATGAAGGTTGTTTCATAGCAACCCAATATAGTTGGGTTCTCTATTAGCAGCTTCTCTATTATCTCATTATATACATATATATATATATATATATATATATATATATATATATATATATAATACATAACAATATATAATAAGATCCATAGAGAATAACAAATTGACAGATAGCATTAATGGCCAAAAACTACGTTGATAAAATTCAATCACTATATACATTCTCAACAGTGCAAATATACAAACAGTAAAAAAAAACGAAATTAGAAAAAAATGAACATAATTGTCTTGAAAAATAATATAAAAGAATATAGAGAAAATAAATTAAAAATTGCAAGTTAAAACTTAAATATTAAAACTATTTTTCACTTCCTAACGTTTTATGAATGTTCGAAGGTTTTAGTTCTGTGGAAAGAAACAGAAACATGAGATTTTCTATAAGTGTGATGAGGGTTTGAACTATAGGAGACAGGGAGTTGATAGTTTGATATATTGGGTTGGCAAATAAGTCCTTTCAGTTTTTCAGGGTGAAATAAAACTCAATATATTATAGACATAAAATTTATTTTAATCTACAACTGTGATTTTCAAAAAAAATCATGTGAGGGACTTAAACATTAAGCCTGGAAACATAGCCGAGGAGCTTGTGCAAATGGTTTTCTACGCTTGAGTGTGACACATTTAGAGCCATAGCAATCTCTCGCAGAGATTGGGTGGGATTTTGATCAACAATGGCCGTTGATATATTAAGCAATATTAACATTGCTCGTTTCAATTTCATGTGAGCGACCAGACCGTTCAGCATCATTGATGTAAAAATTTCTTGAATGAAATTTGGCAAACCAATTTTGACAGATGTGTTCAGTTAAAGGCATCATAGACACTGCAAAAATTTTCTATGAGCTTCTGCAGCATGCTTACCTTTTTTAAAATAATACAACTAAAATGTCGATAATGAACGAAATTTTCTTCTATATTCACAGTGCAACAGCAAACACAATACTAAGTTAGTTTCAAAAAGAGTAAACAGATATAAATTGTTGACATATTACAAAAAGGATAAACAATGCACCTTAGCGATTAATTCATCCGATAAAAAGTGTACCATAGTGACAAAAAAATAAATAGAAATTTTCAATATTTGTAGTTGTAATGTGAGAAAAAATATATATATATATATATATATATATGTTTTTATTTATTATTACTTAGTTATTATTTTACTTTTGTTAATTTTTTTTTTTTTTGTATATATGGTGTGAATGTGTTCATTTATCAATATAATTATTGTTCCCGTGACAGAATATTAAATGTCTAAATAAAAAAATAAAAATAAATAAATAAATACATATAGCCCTGGAGCCAGGATCCAAAAATCAACCTGATCGCAAGCCAAAAGGTTGAATGTAAATTAGGAAAGTGTATGTTATTCTGAGTAAAAAGAAAGTCTGCCATTCCAGAGTCGCTGCTGTAGATTTTTTTGATATTTTTTTGGTTTTTCTCTTATAAAATCTAAACGATGCTTCAAAGCGAAAAATGTACTCTTTATGAAATTATAGAACGTAAAATTGTGTGTCAAAAGTACATAAACTTAATAATTTGGTAACGTGATAAGGTATGAAACCACGGCCAACCAACACTGATTTTTACTAAATTTGTCAAAAACTGAGACAAATTACTATAAATGGCATTGTAACTTGGAAACGAGTTCTCTAGGCAGAAAAACCCAAAGAATCAAAGTTGTAGAGCATCTAACTTTGTGCCCACTGAGTGCAGATATTTTTATTGTAAGCTAATTATATATCTTGAATCAAGATTCATTATTTCTTAATGAAATTCATTATCTTTCAAAACATTGTTTATCAAAATCCTTTGCTGCTGAGTGGTGGAAAAGAGGTTTATACTGCTTGTAACAGACCCAAAACAAAAATAGCTGAGTAGAATAGACATCTATTCTGTTAAAATATTGAAAACACATATACCTTTCATACCAATTTCTAACAATCGGGAGATCTTGTTCGGAGTAAGTGAACTATATTAAAACAGTTGGTACCCAGTGGGTGCAAAATTGGATGCTCTACAACTTTCATTCTATGTTTTTTTCTCTTAAGGAACTCATTTCCAAGCTAAGGCCTATTTACAGTAATTTGACTCGGTTTTTGACAAATTTGGTAAAAATCAGCATTAGTTGACCGTGGTTTTCCACATACCACTAAACAAAATTATTAAGTTTTGGTACTCCTTCGACACACAATTTAACGTTCTTTAATTTATTAAGGACATTTTTCGGTTTGATGAATCGTTAGCTTAGATTTTATAGGTGAAAAAAAAAAATATCGAAAAAACCTGACTTTTTTGGCTCTAAAAAGTTGTTCCTTGGTGGCCCACATAAGCAATTTTGTTTTTTACATGTCCAAACCCATACATACAAGTTAAAAATCTAAAAACTTTAATTACATTTTTTGCTATGAATTTCTGAATGAATGAAGAGCCGTCATTTTTGAAAGCAGCAGCTCTGGAATGGCATACAAGGTTCATTTTACTAAGAATAACATATACTTTCGTAATTTACATTCAAACCTTAGCGTATGATCGGGTTGATTTTTAGACCCTGGCTTCAGGGCTAATAGAAAGAAATAACAACACCTGAAGAAAAGAAAAAATAACAAAAGTAAGAAAAGAAAAAGCATTGATTTTTTATCTTAAAAACATAAACAATAGACTTACTTAATAAAAATTCTAACAGTATATAGATTGAATGTGAGTTAAGAAGTTGAATGCGGAAAAGATGAAGGCAATCTTAATAGGCCCCAATCACCTCCTTAAAAATGTTCCTAATATTACAACTCAGTTCCTACATGATAATCCCATCAAATTTTATTCCTCCATCAAAAACTTTGGAATAACCTTTGATCAAACACTTTCCTGGAAAAACTATGTATCCAATATCTCCTGACGTACCATTTCCACCTTAAAACGTCTAAATTACTCATGTCACCTACTTCCCCTTGAAACCCTCTTATGAAATAGGCTCTTAGTCACTTCCTTAATTTTTCCTCACTTTGACTATTGCTGTACGGTTCATGGAGGCGTCCCTGAGGAACTTGAGGCGAAACTAAAACGTTTGATAAATTGCTTTGTACAATTCATCTTCGGGATCCCAAGGGATGCCTCTGTTTCTCGTTTTTATGCTTCCTACCATCGTAAGTATTTCCTGGCATCCTTCCTTTTTCACGTCCTCTAGTCTCGCCGTCCTTCATATATCTCCGAGCTCTTGCAATTCAAATCCTCTGATCGTTCCCAGTCTTCTGATTTATAATGTCCAAGTTCCTTCAATTCGAATCCTCTGTTCGTTTCTGGTCTCCTGATTTATACATAAGGGCCCACCGAACCGCGGCTTTTGACATATCATTTATTATTCGATCCTCATCCCTATGGAACTTCATCCCTTCCCACATCCGTCAATCCAATACCCTCCTTCCTACCTTTAAATCCTGCCTGTTGAATCATATGTATATAAATCATTAGATCGCTCTTCATTATTTTTACATCATGTTTTTTATTTTATATTATTAACTGATCAACGCTAGAAAGTAAATCATATTTTTATAAAACTTTTATTATGATTATTTAATTACACTGCATTTTTGTTTATGTATATCTGAGGCTTCTTGACCCACATTTCTGTCATTCTGTATTATTCTAAAGGGACTAGTCCCAGAATATATAAAGTATTATAATTATTATTATATACAGTAGCATAATCGTACCATTAAGGAAGGCAAAAATATAAAAAAAGAAAAGCAAATCCTGGAAAGAAGACAAATGAGCGAAAGTAAGTAAAGAAAAACATTGATTTCTGATGTTAAAACATAAATAGTAGGCTAACCTAATAAAAACTAATAATAAAAATTATAGCATATTTACAGTAATTTAAATAATAAGTAAACAATTTTAGAACATCTCCCTTAGCATAATTATAGTTATAATGAGGAAAAAAAAAAAATATATATATATATATATATATACACTTAAAACTTGTATACATTAGATGTCAAAACTTAACCAGTTTGCACTGCTATTCACTTCTAATAAAATTTAATTTATAAAATAATAATTTTATGAAGGCAGATTCTTTGGGCTGTAAGAAGTTATTTGAAAGATGATAGAGGAGAGGCATGACGGATGTTAGATAGTAAGGAATTCCAAAAGGTAATGGAGCGGGCTAAGCAAATTAAAACTTATCTATAGAATTCACACATTTTAAATCTAATTCTAAGGTTTCTTTTGTTTATGTTTAATACTTTAAGACAATTTTGTTTTTTTCATTATTTTACAATTATTACCATACATGTTAGTATGTAGTACCATACATGTTAGGCTTTCAATAAAATAGTCTTACCACTATTTAGCCTTTTTATGACCGCAACCCCGGACCATCTCCTTCCTTTATAATGCAACGGTCAACTATTAAATATTCAATTTTACAATTATTATTTGCATAGAAGAAATATTTTAATTCATTCATTTCTTTTGTGGTATTTTTAATTTATTAGTTTGTTGTAGCTGGTATTATTTCATTTATCATTAATTTTCAATATATATAAATTGCTGCTATTTGACATTTTATTCCTACAACTCTCATAACTTCACATTATTTTAACATTTTAAAATTAATTAATTAATAAGGCTCCAGTGCCTATAGATTAGGTTGTACATTATTGGCTGTTTACATTTGAAAATCCGCTGCTGCCACAATTATAACAAATACCAAAAAAAGATAAGGATATGTGCACAGGCTTTGGAGAGGATCCCAACTTCAGTGCATGTCCTGACACATTTAAGAAAGTGGCTGAGTTAATTCAGATCCCTTGTCCCAGCATCTAATACTAATGATTTATCTGCAGAAAATAAAAAATATTGGCTGCAGCAAACCAGAGTTACTTCAGGATTCTGAAGACAATCCGCAGTAGGCTTCTCAGCAGACGAAACTAACCGACCCCTTATAAGAAGACTTTGATCTGCCCTGTCCTCAACAATATTTCATAGATCTAGATCTTTTGAAAGGACAAAAAAAATATCAGGTGATATTTGAAAGAAAATATTGTAGTACATAATCAATCCAGTGAGAGTTAAAGAATGCTAGAAAAAACAGAAAGAAAAGAGAACCCTAGGTTTATAAAGCCTGGGTGGCTTAGTTGGCGGGATCAAATTTGGCTGAATAAGTGAGCTAGTGACCCTGATGATTATTACACAAAGACATTGAACAATAGCTGGCAGTAAAAGACTAAGGTGTGATGACGGTATAACAGCAGACACAAGAGGCCTCTTAAGGATCAGAAATTGGAAGGTGGTAGGACTATACTGAGTAGATTGCGTATGGCTTATTAGTCACAAAGAAAGATTAAACAGTAAGGTTTGAAACACACAACTATATATAAAAAAAATGGCACTTAGCCTTCTAATCACAAGTACCATACATGTATTTATTCAGCTATAATAATGATTTTTTAAGATTGATATACAAAATTTGCAATGAAAAAGTGAATATCATCCCTCCATTCAAATATATAGTAGTTTTAATTAATAAAATCCTTTGGAGTAAAAATTATCCTATTTTCTTATTCGAACACACTTGTACAAAACATGAAATTATTTTCTTAGATTCTAGTTGAATACTTAATCCGTAGTGTTATCTTTTAAATATAGATGGTATTAATTCATTTTTTATGATGCTATATAATTTTATTTTATAATAAGAAACCATTCCAAAGTTTAATATTATGAAATTTCTAAATGCTGAGCTAACAGGGATTTATAAAAAAAAAAAATAAAAAAAAGAAATGAGTCTAAAGGCTGCTTAAATCAAGCTAACTCTAACTACATCAATATCAAAAACATAATATTTTGCTAAAGATTACGTTTAAATACAGGGCAAACATTTACTAATTAAATAGTAGAAAATTTAAGTTTTTTGAAATACTACCACAAACCTCTGATTAGCTTGAAGTGTAACAGTTCCAGTCAACAATTGGCCAGCTTTAGCGAACAATGGTGACTCCAATAAACATCTTACTTGATACCAATGTGTCAATGCTTCAGTTGGGGATGTTGAAAGCCAAACAGTTTGTGATGATCCAGTAAAAGCAACATCAAACCAAAAAGCCAACCCATGGACCGTTCCAGTCTCAAGGATATAGAATTCTAATGGGATCACTGCAAAGTTTAACACAAGATAAATATTTTAATTTTAAGGAGACATAGCCAAATAAGCAAAAGAAAGATGAAATTATTTATTAATACAGTGATATCTACTTGCTATATTAACAAATAAATTAAATAAGATCCCATGAAAATAAGTGGATATGATATCAGACTGTAACTGGCATATCAGACATAGAGGTCAGAACCAAATAGTATTCCTATCTCTAACTTTAAAAGATTTTTTGGGTGATTTTAAGCATGGAATTTGTATTGTAGCTGAGTTTGGATTTCCACGGAGTTAATCATAAAATATTTTCAATGAAGACTGAATGTCATCTTTTACCAAGTCATTAGCTGCACCATAAACTTGTGAGGTATAGGTCCTTATGGGTAAGAAAAAGTATTTGTTCTTCGTATATTTTTAAAACTTAAAATTTTACAGAAGATAAGTACAGAAGCCATAATCTGCACAGGCTTATGACATTAATTTCAACATGTCACGTCCAAATCATCCTTCTATATAAGGCGAGTAGGATGCAATTTGATAGCAAAATATTTAATCCCAAGAAATTATTACAATGAAAATTAATTTATGACCAATCTTTTAACTTATTTCTAATACTTAAACAATGCTTGAGTGTACTCCTTACAAAGATTAATTATGGTATTGATACTGAAACTGACCCAGCAGGTGGACCTGTTAGTCCTTAAAGACCCATTACAGCTACCTAGAAAATGTCATTCAGTTCTCCATCACGCAATAAATATAATTAATGAGATCAAATCCATATCTGAGCCAGGATGGTTAGGTACATGTGTTTAGTAAACAAATTGATCAATAGACATAATACTTACCGATTTTATGAAGATCTGTTTCGTTAGCAACTGTGAAATCAACCGAATGCCTAATACTCTTGGCCATACATATCCTCATGTCAAAAGTGTCAACAATAGGTTGTCTAAAGTATTCTTTGGTAGCAGCATCCCTCATGGAGCTTAAATCAACACCATGGAAGCATGTTTGTACCCTTTAAAAAAAAAAAAAAAAAAAATAGTATCCATAACAAATGAGGTACTGGGAAAGTTTTTTTTAACCAATAATGATACAACTATTAACCCAGAAGTGTAGCCATGACCATTTTGCTCACATTTGGAAATAAAATTCTATATTTAAATCATATTTCACCTGATTTATTTGCACTTTCGTTTACTTTTCCTTAGACTTTGAGACTGTTATTGTTACTTATTCTTCAATTTAAACTTCCCCTCCACTAATTCAGTTTTACTTTTGTCTTGCAATGGATTACAGGATTAGTTCCAAGATGTTATTTGGAACCTTTATGAAAGAGAAATTCACAATGGAACTTATACCTTGAGAGTAGCAGAGAGTACAAGATAAAAACCCAATACCTCTTCCTAAAAGGAGAGTAACTGTAGAGAGAGAAACTCAAAAGTGTGTGGCTGAAATGGAAATTCCAGAGAAGCCCGTTTCCTCTATGAATACACATGAAACTATACAACTATGAAGCGGGTAAAATTGATGGTGCATATTCCTATTTAGTGTATGATCTCAGTGTTTTCGCACCCATAAAGGGCACAAACAAGGGCTTGGCTTGCGTACTTTCTTTTTAATTTGGCTCTGGAATGTACAACAGAGAAATCCAGAATTCAAGTGGTAGAAGGTTCAATTTTCAATAGGACTCCAATGATGCTTGGCTATACAGTAGAACCTTTGAAGCCAAGAAAGAAGCATTCATAGAGCTTCCAACAGCTACTGAAAGAATAGGGCTCATTATAAATGAGGCTAAAACAAATTACAGAAGTACAATCCCAATGGAGAATCCTACATACATATTAGGCCATAATTCTTTGAGCTAGTAGAGAAATTAATTTATTTGAAATCTTAATTCAATGTTCACAAAAATGACATTGGCCAGGAAATTCAATGCAGAATGGTTCATAGAATAAATAATGTTATCAGATTTTTTCTAGATTATCTCTCTGAACTCAATATCATTTTTATACTGTAAAGGAATTATTAATCATAAAGTAGTGGTAAATTATAAAAAAAAAAAAAAAAAATGTAAAATATCTGTTGAATAAAGAAGTTTTCAAGAAAACAAAAGGAAATTATTTGTAGATCTTGTTATGTTCTTTCATGCATCCAGTATTTTCAAGAGAAAATAAAGGCCAAGTTGAATGTAAAAAATCATTGACAAAAAACTGCCGAGTTCATCTCTCAAATGTAAAGATCATAAGTTATAACAGCATTATATTTCCTATAGTTATTGATTTCCTTTAAAAACAATAGCAATTATTATTATATTTATTGATACTTCTATCATGTGGCTTAAAAAAAGGATACCTATTCTCTAAAACAGATTTTATTATGGCTATTAAGAATCAGGTTATTTCAATCAACACAACAACAACAATAAAAAGCTTAGTGAACCCGAAGGTTCGATGCCGACATCACTAATCACCTATTACTTACCTCCCTCCACCATTTACCATCCAAACCAGTCCCTTCAGATCGGCCTTAATGCAATCCTCCCACATTCGCCTCGTCCTACCCCTTGGCACAGCAAATATTAACCTTTTAGGAATTCTCGTAACTAAGCCCAACCATTTTACAAGCCCATTTGATTCGCCAGGGTGAAATCACCTCAATTATATTACCTGGATACAGTTCCCACAATTTGGCGTTGTGTAACTGTCTATACTCTCCGGTTAATTGATCCTTCTTTGGTCCGAATATTCTATGCAATACTTTATTTTCAAAAACCTTAAGACGTTACTCATCCCTTAATTTAGGCGGCCACGTTTCGCATCCATAAAGAACTGTATGTAAGATAATGGTTTTATAGATTCTAATTTTTAAGTTCCGAGAGAAGAGGCCTACTTCAATCAATGGTTATAGAAAATATACAAGCAGAGAACATATAAGTGATTAATGTCACTTGTGTGAAAATGCAACTGAGTCAATTCAGCATACATCATCAGGATGACAAGCATTGGTAGGCAGGTAAAGAATATCTGATGAGGCACAATAACATATCCAAGTTTTTCAACCAATTACTGACCTCATTATATAAAAGTATTATAACATAATAGTTAACCAGGTTCCTAATAATCAATATAAGCCCAAACAAGTAGTCTGGTAAATACAAAATAATATATTGGGATCATTCTATAATTACAGACCACACATCAGTAAATAATAAATTAGATAGTCTCATTAATTGCTTAATAGTTCTAGTAGTAAATTCAAATAAATTAAGCTGTTATTAATACTATTACCCCAACCAAAGACAGTCAGAAATATGGTATCAGAAAAGATCAGAAACTATCAAGATTAAGAATAGAATAGAATAGAAAATAAACTTTATTCTGGGACGAGGTACCTTAAGAATAACAATTACGAACAAAAAATAGAAAACCACATCTGGCCAAAAATTACATCAATCAAAATTAAAGAATATACACAATTTTTACGAAAGTATATTAAAACAAATAAAAAATTAACACCATTTTGAAAAAAAAACAAGCATTATTCAAATGAAAATAAAAACAGAAATCAGGTAAACAAAATGTTATAAGCACTATGGGTTGATTCTTAAAATTAAAACTCAAACAATTTCTATAACCATTCACCTCAGTCAAAATTTGATTCATAATATTTACTTCATTGTACAACGTCATTTTGGGATGTGAGAAGGAATTAGTTGAGATGACATTTGAATGAGGACAAAGATATCAGATGGCAAGGAATTCCCGAAGGCAGTGGATCAGGTAATAAAGGAATATTCAAATGTCTTAGTTCTATGGAAAGGGATATAAAGATCGGAAACACAGGATCATGTTTTCTGGGATTGGACCACGGGTTTGAACTGTAGGAGACTAGATGTAGGAAAAGTGTCGGGTGTCGATTGTTTTTATGTTTGAAGATATGGCAACTCTGTAGCCTAGATCAGACACAAGCATATCCTATAGTAATTTCTTGTAATGGACTCACACCAGACGATACCTCCAATCTGATGAGTATTTGAATCTGCTAGAAAAAAATTTGGAAGGGCAGAAAGCACTACTCCTCAGAATAGCAACTATCATAAGGATGTTTTTAAATCTAGGTTAACATTGAAGCCTAAACCTTGTTCCAGGTAGATGAATACTTCTGGTATAAGCCCAGAAAGTGCAAAATTCTAAAATAATAATAACAATGGCTGCATAATGAACTTACCAGAAACTGGCTTTACTAGTTTGTTCCATGAAGAGAGCGTCATCCATAAATGGAGCAATATGTAAATCCCCTTTACTGGGAAACATGATTCCTACAATAAATCAAATATATAAAAAGGTTTTAAAGGTAAATATTTAAAATTAACTTAACTATATAATATCTGAATACACATAACACTATATTAGCCTCAATTTTTAGAAACGTTACTTTCACTTTCCTGAGAACTGCAATCAAACAAAGTCTTTAATTTGATTATCATTTTACCAATAAATCATTGTAAAAATATTTCTTTTCATCTTTCATAGCATTATGATTTGTACAAAATAGTGAAGGTAAAATCCTCTTTATATTGCTTATACCATCAGACCAGTGAGTGCTAGAGGCCTGCAGTCATTTTTTATTATTTTTATAAATTTTATTTCATTGTATTACTGAGTTGGATTTTATTTCACAAAACTTAATACTTGATATAATTAATGAAATAATTTATTATAAATTATAACAATAATTTATTTATCAGTAACCGAGGTATCCCGTTATTTAGTGTAATTAGTGAGAAACTGATATTATCTTTTAGGATGTACTGATGACAGAATACCATAATAGTCTGAGGGCCAGACCTCCTTACCGTGCACCCCCCCCCCCCACATCCCTATAAATTGCATATCGTTGTGTTCCTTGTGACAATTTATTAAAAAAAAGCCAATGTTCCCACAAAAAAAAGTGAACGAACTGCCCCAAAATGGCGTCCAAACATGGCGGATTGACGACTTTGACTTTAGTTAGTTTTTTTGTTACTGAGAATCAGCATTTGGCTTAATTTCATTATAGTTGGTCTTTTATTAAAGCTGGATAGTCAGAGAATAATAAAACATGAAAAAATATTAAAAACTAATTGGCTTAGGCATTAAAAAAAATCGGTAAAGTCAATTTTTTTTACAAAAAAATTTTCAAGTTGAAAATCAAGCGTCGTTTGTAATTAAACGGTCAACAATAATGCAAAACGTGCTGAAATAAAACATCTGGAGAATACATTTCTCTTTCTAAAACACTGATTACTTTTTAAAATATTTGAAGTAGTTCCGTATAAAATGTACTTAAGCGGCAGAAAAGCGCTACTGGCGTGGGTGCCTACAGGCCTCTACCACACCACTCAGTACTCATAAATGGCTTAGTTATAGTGCTATAATAACGTTTTTGTTATATTTTATTGATTATATTAACGAACAAATATTAATACAATAATTTAATTGTAAAAAATTATTTTTTTTTAAATTTATTATTTTTGTTTTTATTTTTCATTATTATTTTTTTTTTAATTTAACTTCATTTATTCTATACGGAGATCGCTTAAGAAGGCCTCTATTATAAAAATTATATAATTATAATAATAAAACTTAATTCAAAAATACTTTGCAGAATATCTTGATTTTTTTATTTAATATTTGCAATTTAACATTTTGTTTTATATATTTACTGATTCTTAGAGGTAATGTAAATTGTATATACTTCCCCGGAAATGAGTCATATTAATATCTGTTTTATAAACTAAAATAATATATACCTAATCTGAACTACTTTTAATGAATAGGTGATGGATTGTTTAGTAAAATTCATATATCGCTATTAAAAAAAACATTTTTATTTCCTTTATTTTATTCGGAAGTTGGACCATATCATAAAAAATAGGAACTTTTAATATTAAACTGCATTATTCCCTCTGCACAAATGAAATATGGAAAGGGCGAAGCTATAAGTTCTTCTATGTAACTGGAACTGATTGTTAGTATTTGGTCTCAAAATGAGGAAAAATGCGAAATTGAACCCAAACATTGGAAAAATACATTAAGCGAACGACAGTGCCAAAATTTCGGAAAAGAAAACAAGGATCAGTATCCATTATATGGCTAAACGGATGTATAGTAGACAGATGAACAGAATATTTTAAGATGCTGCTAAAAGAGGGTAAAAATGCTTGATGGGTTCGGATGATGTTAGGCAGGTTTATTATGGTGAAGACATTTTATCAGAAAGAAAGATTAGCTCTAAGCAATTGGCAAGCAGGTCTGGAGGAAGTAAACAAGGTTGATAATGGTTTAAACCACTTTATTTTAGATTGCTATTGAAGTTGTACATTGGGACTATCTTCACTTAGAAGCAGGTTATACAGAGGTCTATCGATAAAAGGAAATAGCTCTGCTCCTCTTTAGTGCAATTGCAAAAGATTTTTGAAGGAATCTGAAAGGAAAACGAGCTTTTGTGAAAGACTAGTAGATATTTGATCAATCCAAAGTGTGAGGCACTAAGCAGATAGAGAACCATTTTTCTTTCTTTGTGGACTTCTCTATAACCTACCTTGAAGTGAAGACAGACCCAATTTGCAACTTATGCTCCAATGCGCAACTTGAGTTTCTCAATCCATATCACTCAGGCAATCGACAATATTTCTAATTTTAGCTTATACGATTCATGAGTAAACTTTCTTTGGTACTATAAACAATAAGGAATCTCGAATAACATTTCCTAGTATCTCATTTCCTGTAAAGGGACAAAACTACAGTCCTTTCATATAATTTTCTAATACATTTGTAGCCTTTGTACGCACAGCATTTCGGGTTACTTCTTCCAGACCAGCTGACTTGCCAATTGCTTAGAACAAATCTTTCTTGCTGATGAAATGGTCTTCACCATAATAAACCTGCTTAATATCATCCAAACTGATCAAGCATTTTTACCCCCTTTTAGCAGAATCTTGAAATATTCTGTTCATTTGTCTACTATATATTCGTTTAGCCATATAATGGATACTGATCCTTGTTTTCTTTTCCGAAATTTTGGCACTGTCGTTCGCTTAATGTATTTTTCCAATGTTTGGGTTCAATTTCGCGTTTTCCCTCATTTTGAGACCAAATACTAACAATCAGTTCCAGTTACATAGAAGAACTTATAGCTTCGCCCTTTCCATATTTCATTTGTGCAGAGGGAATAATGCAGTTTAATATTAAAAGTTCCTATTTTTTATGATATGGTCCAACTTCCGAATAAAAAAAAGGAAATAAAAATGGTTTTTTTAATAACGATATATGAATTTCACTAAACAATCAATCACCTATTCATTAAAAGTAGTTCAGATTAGGTATATATTATTTTAGTTTATAAAACAGATATTAATATGACTCATTTCCGGGTAAGTATATACAATTTAAATTACCTCTAAGAATCAGTAAATATATAAAACAAAATGTTAAATTGCAAATATTAAATAAAAAAATCAAGATATTCTGCAAAGTATTTTTGAATTAAGTTTTATTATTATAATTTTATAATTTTTATAATAGAGGCCTTCTTAAGCGATCTCCGTATAGAATAAATGAAGTTAAATTAAAAAAAAATAATAATGAAAAATAAAAACAAAAATAATAAATTTAAAAAAAAATAATTTTTTACAATTAAATTATTGTATTAATATTTGTTCGTTAATATAATCAATAAAATATAACAAAAACGTTATTATAGCACTATAACTAAGCCATTTATGAGTACTGAGTGGTGTGGTAGAGGCCTGTAGGCACCCACGCCAGTAGCGCTTTTCTGCCGCTTAAGTACATTTTATACGGAACTACTTCAAATATTTTAAAAAGTAATCAGTGTTTTAGAAAGAGAAATGTATTCTCCAGATGTTTTATTTCAGCACGTTTTGCATTATTGTTGACCGTTTAATTACAAACGACGCTTGATTTTCAACTTGAAAATTTTTTTGTAAAAAAAATTGACTTTACCGATTTTTTTTAATGCCTAAGCCAATTAGTTTTTAATATTTTTTCATGTTTTATTATTCTCTGACTATCCAGCTTTAATAAAAGACCAACTATAATGAAATTAAGCCAAATGCTGATTCTCAGTAACAAAAAAACTAACTAAAGTCAAAGTCGTCAATCCGCCATGTTTGGACGCCATTTTGGGGCAGTTCGTTCACTTTTTTTTGTGGGAACATTGGCTTTTTTTTAATAAATTGTCACAAGGAACACAACGATATGCAATTTATAGGGATGTGGGGGGGGGAGGTGCACGGTAAGGGGGTCTGGCCCACCGTGTATAACATAAAACAATAAATTCTACTAATATTTTAAAAATTTAGAAAGAAATATATGAAATAAACATGATTATTAACCTGAAGATCTAGAAATACTTACCACCCGGTTTCAACCATTTTTTCGCATGGAGATATGTTTCTAGCATTCTTTCATTATATAACATATATCCCATTGGCTCTGATATAATAACGTCTACCATTTCAGGTAGTTCAATCTCCTCAATTTTTCCAGCGATAACCTTGATTTTATCATGCACATTATTTGCAGCAACTAGAGTCTTAAATAAAAAATAAAAAATAATGTTGCATATGTAAATATATTAACAAAAGGAACATGTTTAAATATTATTAACATACATTAGATTGAATTATTTTATGATATAATTTATGTTCTTCACTTATATAAACCTCTGAGAATATTAAGACTCTCATGAATATTGCAAATAAACTAAATTCGAGATAATAATTAATAAGTAAGGGCTCAAATGGGAAGTGACAACACATGGTCACTAATGACCACTTAGCTTTTCCTCCCTAACTCCTACTCCAAGACTAGGAGCAACTGAACATTTCATTTAACAGAAAGACTTAAAACAAGTAACCATTTTAAATTCTAAATACTCATCTGAACACGCAATTTCGGTCAGTGGGTTGAAAGTAATTGCTTTTGATGTGAAAATTTAAATTAAAGAGGTGAAATTTTGATATGATGTCAATAATATGTCCCTAAAAGAAAATTCACCTTCACTGACAATGTACTTGATTGAATTTTGAAAACTGACGTGTCAAAGTATTCAAATTAGGCCAGTCAGATGGTAGTTGGATTAGGAAAAACTTCAAATATTCGGTTTTTTTTTTTTGGGGATGCTGAATCTGAATTTGATGTTCCTGGACGAAATTTTACCTTGCCTTCCGATATGTGCAAAAAACAACAAACTTTCTGAATTTTTTATATTTTTTTTTGACATGACTCTGAAACTATGCATTTTATTGAAATTATTATCATATAACACGTTTAAGTAGATAAAATTAACTATTGATTTTATACGCAGCTTTTTGATGTAGGCCCGAGTGAGGAATTACAGAATTTTGACTGTTTACTTATTTCACAAGAAAGCCCCTTCCCCCCAAAAACTCATAATCATCTATGGATCTCTTGAAGAAATTTATTATAATCAATTCAAAGAGATTTAAATTTCATATGTACCTCATGTAGACACGTTAATATGTGAGTGGGTTAAGCAAGCTATTACAGCATATGGAATCGAAGCCGTATTATACTCATAGTATCTGCCACTCTCAAATTAAGTACTTTTTATCTCTCCGATGCTTTTGATTTGACTAATTTAACTATATTTATAACAGGATGAATTAAATATAGTCAAACATAAAAAAAACGACTATTTGAATATTTTCCTCATCCAACTGGCCTAATTTGATGACTGAGGCATCAAGTTTCCAAATGCAACCGAGTACATCATTAGTCAAGGTGAATTCTCTTATAGGTACATATTCTTGAAATTATATCAACAAAAATTCAGCCGTATGTTCTTCAGTTAAATGAACCATCAAATTTCGCATCTTTAATTTAAATTATCGCATAGAAAGTAACAAATTTCAACCGACTGACCGAAGTTTTGTGTTCAGATGAGGTTTATCTAGAATTTAAAATGGTAACTAGCTCAAATCCTTCTGTTAAATGAAATGGTCAGTAGCTCTTAGTCTATCTCACCTTCTCGTGGTGGGCTAATTAAGTCGAGCAACTCAGTCTGAAGTTGTGGTAACCAATCCCTTTGGATGACTGGGTAGGTAAACAAACCACAGAGGGGGCCCTGGCAGGGCAGCCTGGGGAGGGGGGTAACCTGATTGGGGGATGGAGGAATGTTGAACTGAGGGAGCTAAAGGATTACATCCTTATTAACAGTGAACATCGGGAAAACATATTAGGCACTGGATTATGCATTGGTAAATGAAAGAATCTGCACTCTCAGAATCAGAGGAAAGTTCTTTAATATAAGCCTGGTTAGCATTTATGCACCAACAGAGGATAAAAATGATGAACAGAAGGCTTTCTATGTTGTGCTTGAGTCCACAGTTGGCAGATTGCCAAGAGGTGATGTAAAAATAATATTCGAGGACTTCAAAGCAAAAATCGAAAGGGAAGAAATGTTCCGCCCTACTATCGGCCCACATAGCTTGCATGTAGAGCAATGATAATGGATATAAGCAATTGGCATTGCTGCTCTGCGAGGTTCAATATAAGTACATATTTCGGCCATAAAAGCACTCATAAGAAAACATGGATTTATCCTGATGGGCTAACTGAGAACCAAATAGATTACGTCTTGATTGTAAAAATACATGCTACAGATGTGACAAATGTTCGAAGCTTCAGAGGCACTGAATGCCAAAGGATTGCCAATCAACCAAAGGATCAGACAGCAAAAACCAAGAAGTATTGCCTGGAGAAACTGAAAGACCCCGATAAGAATAAGAGGTATGCAGAAAGGGTGGCTGTAAAGCTACTGGTCTATAGATGAGAATGAAGGTGTGGAAGCTAGATGTAGCAAGATGAAGAAAGTGGTTACAGAGGCAGCTGATGAGACCCTATTAATAAATCATGGGAATACCCAGAGCACATGGTTTGATGAAGAATGCAGGAGGATGGTCGAGGAAAGAAATAGGACCAATGTAGAAAGGCATATAGCCCTAAGGAGAGAATCAAGAAAATGTGCAGGAAATGGAAGCAAGACACGGAGAAAGCCAAATTTCTCCATATGAAAGAGGAGTTTGGGGAGAGAAATAGAAGTTCTTCGGAATCCTCAAAGAGCACAAGGGAGACTTATAACAAAGGATCAGCTTTATAAAGAATGACAATGGCGAGCTGCTGGGAGACCAACTGGATGTTGTTAGAATAGAATAGAATAGAGAATAATTTTACTCTGAGAAAAAGTCCCTTTACAATAACTGAATAGAACAAAATTAAAATATTACACCTGGCCTAAATAAAAACAAAAAAAGAAAAAGAAAGAGAAAACAAATATAGGTGGTCTCAATATTTCGAGAAGCTCCTAAACCTAGAAATGCACGAGGAACTCGCTTCAAGCCCACCTAGGTGCATCAGATCACCGAATATATATAGAGAAGTTATAGAACCGCCAGAGAAGCTGCAGAAGTTCTTGCATCCCTAAAAAACTACAAGGTTGCAAGAGAGGATAATATTCCTGCAGAACTGTGGAAGCATGGAGGAGACACATTGGTCGAGCAAATATACCATCTGGTTTTTGACAACTGGATGTCAGAAGGGATTGCAAAAGACTGGTCCACTGAATTAATATGCCCAATTTATATATAATAAGGGGGACAAGATGGAGTGTGAAAACCACAGAGGCATTGTTTTGCTTAACAAGGCATACAAAGTTTTCTCCTTTTTGTTGATGAGGAGGATACTCCAGTACTCTGAGAATACCACAGTGGATTCAGAAGGGGTAGATCAACTATTGATCATATTTCAAGCATAAGGTCCATGCTGGAGAAGTGCTCTTAACATAATATTTATATACACTACCTCTTCAAAGACTAAAAACAAGCATACAAAAGTGTAGACCAAGGCAAGTTGTATCAGGCCATGGCAAAGATGGGTATCCCAGAAAAGCTGATACGATTAGTGTGCACAACCTTGGAAGGGACACAAGGAAAAGTAAAAACACAAAGTACTAAGTCTAGTTGCTTCCATATCAACAAAGGATTAAGGCAAGGAGACCCTCTGTCCCCCATCATATTCAACATTATTTTGGAAACAGTGATAAGGGCCATTACAACAAATCCTGGAAGAACTATCTATAATCGATTGACACAAAATCTTTCTTTTGCAGATGACGTACTTTCTGGTCACATACGAGCCTCTTTACAAGGAGCTTTTGAGGAATGTGAACAGGCCTCAAAAATGGCTCAATATTAATGAAGTCAAAACTAAGTATATGAAGACCTCGCATGGTGATTGTGGTGCAAGGAATGGAGAGTACTTTTTCGAACAGGTGCAGCAGTTTAAATACCTTGGGGCCAACATTAACGAAAAAAATGATAAACAGACCGAAATAAAGTCACGCATGATGGCTGGAAGAAGATGTTGCTGGGTGCTCAGAAAAGTAATTAGGTCAAAGGTGTTGCCCTGGCAGTTAAAGAAGGGAATATAAGTTAGTGTTATAAGACCATTGGTGACATATGGAAGTGAGACATGAGTCCTCAACAAGAAGTCAGAACAAGCGCTCAATGAGTGAGAGAGGAAAGTTCTGAGAAAAATTGTTGGCCACTTGATGGAGGGAGATCGGTGAAAGCAGAGAAACAATCAGGAGCTCCGTGATCTATACAAGGCCCTGGATATTGTCATCTACATCAAGAAGAGTAGAATTAGGTGGCTGGGGCATTTACAGAGGATGGAAGAGCGGGGTATCCCGAAAAACCCTCTGGAGGCACACCCTGGCGGAGGACAAAGAAGGGGGTGTCCCAGATTAGGGTGGCTGGAAGACATGGAGGAAGACCTAAGGACACTTGCAGTACGAAGGTGGAGAAGAGGAGCTTTGGACAGGGACGAATGGCGAAGAATTGTGGAGGAGACCAGGGTTCTGTAGGACCGTAGTGCCATCGAAAGAAGAAAGAAGAATTAATAAGTAAACAATAATTATCGAACAATACGAACAACCATATTATAACTACGGCGATGCAATTAAAGTAACTACCTCATGTAGGCATAGACTTAACCAAGATACTGCAACATATGTTCATTGTTAATGTGTATGTCAACAAATAAGTACAACAGTAGTGTTCCTAATAATCAACTCTTATTGAATAAACCTCTATCGTTCAGATCATCAACAATTGTAATGATTTAACTACAAAAAGATCATAAATTTCCTTATTTATTATAACCTGATAGAAATTAATAAAAAATTAACTATAAAATTACAAATAAAACAAAATATTAATTTACTCGACTTGTCCCTAAATTTCACTTCTATTCTAAGTAATATTAATAAAATGTGATAATCGTATTTATTTTGATGATATAATGTACAAATGCATATGTTATAAAACTTAACCTATGTTGTAAAGATATATATATATATATATATATATTACAAATAATACATATATATATATATATATATATATATATATATATATATATATATATATATTATAAAGAAAAAAATTACCTCTGCATGCTGAGCCATTGAACTAGCTTCAACAGCATACACTCTTCGAGCACCAGCTTGGACAGCAAAAAATGATAGGATTCCACTTCCAGCACCAACATCAAGAACAATTTTGTCTCTGAAGTCTTCACTATTTGTTAAAACTGCTCTTTGGTACGTACTAGTACGTACATAGTCTTGTAACATATTTTGTTGTTGTGATAAATATCCATAAAACTATAACAAAGACACGATTAATCTTCATAATGTGTTAAAAAATAATTTTATAAAAATTAAATTAATCATACATGACATTTATAATACTGAACAGCAAAGGAGAAATGGATTTCTGAGGATATTTTTTCCACGTTTGTGCCAAATTAACTTTAGTAATTCTACTGATTTGATTTTAATGAAGTTAATGAATCATCACATTACTAAACTGTATTAAGTCTCCTGTCATGAAATTTAAAATAAAAACAAACAATGAAGTGATTTAAAGAAAATTTTAGGAAAACTTTGACCTATATTTCGGCAAATAAAGTACCTATTTAACAATAGTCAATTAAAACTTTAAAGCACAGAGAAATTGACTCTTACAAAGCCACTATTACTGTGATTGATTGTTTACAATAATAGATAATAATAGTTGGTTCAGTGCTTAGTAAGGAAGTACTATTTCTTGGTCATAGGTTGTTAAGGAGATGACTGTAACCTATTTGCATATTCAATTATAGTATAATCGATTACCAAAGTTAATCTGATTAAGATAAAACAGTTGATGTATTGTGATGAATAATAAAGTATACCTAAATGTTTTATAAGTATTTTTTTTAATTAATCATACATAGTACATGGTGTCAGGTGAAATACCTACTAAGACTCATCGCCCGAGTCAGTGTTTGATTGTAACATTACTACTGATGTGAATGATATTAAGTCAGACTTATGGAAGGAATATATTTATATTCATAATGTAACCGTACTTTTTAAGCTAGATACGGCTAGTGATATTAATATTTTACCCATTAAAATTTAGAATAAAATAGAATTTGATGGTAAATTGACTAAAACTTTAATGAAGGTTAAATCATTTGGAGGCTTTATCTCTAAACCTTTGGGGAAAAAACTATTTTAGAGGCTAACTATAAAAAGAAGAATTGTGACATTGAATTTGTAACATGTAAAAAATTAGTTTTATATCAAAAAAAGACTGTCAATGGTAAAAAATCCTGAACTCTTATGAACAATTAGGGCTAATTAAATGAGCTTATACTTCATCTAAAGTTAATGATTTAACTGTTAAAAATTTAGAAGATGGAAAACAATAATTTATCCAAAATAATAAGGATGTTTTAACTGGTTTGGGTATAATCCCCTATGAAGTTAGGATTACACTTAGCAATAACACAGTACTTACTGTGAGACCAGCGAGGAGACTTCCAGCCTCTCTCAAATCTAAACTTAAAAAATATATCGATAGGTTAGTGGACTTAGGAGTAATTACACCAATAGAAGAGCCTACAGATTGGGTTCATGATATAGTGGTAATTGAAAAGAAAGATGGATCTATTCGACTGTGTTTGAATCCCATTCCATTGAATAAATTCATAAAAAGGGAACATTATAGCATCCCTACCCAAGAAGAACTAACTGCTAACCTTAGTGGAAAAAAATGGTTTACTGTGCTCGATAAGAAGGAAGGTTCCATCAGTTTCCTCTAGATGAGAATTAGTGTCGTTTATGCACTATGAATACCCCGTTTGGTCGATATCGATTTTTAGAGTGCCCTACAGTTTGTCTAATATTCTGGAGATATTTCAATGAGACAATAAAAATTTGGGGACATAGAGGGAGTGCAAATAATGTTCGATGACATCGTTTTGGGCCAAACAGAAATTAAACATGCTAAAAGTTTGGAAGAGGTTATAAAAAGGGCCAGGCAGTCCAACATTAAATTTAATAGCAAGAAACTTCAATTTCAATTAAATGAAGTAAAATATTTGGGACTAGTATTTGGAGCAGATGGAATCAAGCCGGATCCCCACAATTTCTAATATCAAAGAACCTCAGCCTCTGAAGGAAATTAAAACATTTTTAGGTTCGATACATTTTTTGAACAAATTTATTCTGGCCCTATTCACTAGTCACCACTCCTCTTAGGGAGCTATTGAAAAAGGATGCTCAGTGGCAATGGTCTGATCCACAGAAGCAAGCTTTCTGCAATATAAAATTTTTAGTTTGCAATGTGCCCACTCTCAAACTGTTTGATCGGTCACTTAAAATAAAGATCCAATATGATACCAGCAAGGATGGGCTTAGATGCTGTTTACTACAAAACAGGCAACCAGTAGTCTTAATGGCTCAGGAAAAAAAATATATAGTCTGACACAGAAGGAGATGCTTAGCTTATGCTTCTTGGTCAATAGATTTCATCACTTTATTTATGGTCAAAATAATGTTGAGATTTTCACGGATCATAAACCGTTGTTAGCAGTGCTCAATAAGGAGCTGTATAAAAATTCTTCAAGACTCCAAGGAATGCAACTCAAGCTATTAAAATATAAATTTATATTATCCTATATACCAAGCTCAAAAATGAATATAGCGGACAAGCTATCAAGAGCCTTTCTCAAAGAAGAAGGACCGGAAGATGTTGACTTCTCTCAGGTGGTTCATGCCATTACACAAGAAGAATTGTTACCGGTGCCATCAGAGGATATAAAAATCTTGCAAGAAGCCACCAGGAAGGATTTTGGTGTACTTTAAAATTATATCCGGAATGTTTGGGAAGGAGTTCATAAAAAGTATTTGGAATGTAAAATAAAGGAATTTTATTTTATAATGAGAGAATTATTATACCACTGAACCTCCGATGTCACTTCATGAGCCAAATTCATTCCAAAGCTTCCCTTGGAATGAACAAAACTGTTTCCCGTATCAAGAGCCTTATGTATTGGCCAAATATGTCCAAGCAAAGCAATACTATTTTTACTATTACTATATTACCAAGCATATTATTTCAAACAAAATTTATTGAAGGCTTGTTTTGAGTGACCTGATAAAACTTATTTTTTATGTTCTATTTAGGGCAACAATTGATTATGGGATAATTTATTTTTGCAGACAACCAGTATAATGGTAATTGTATCTGTAAAACTGGACATCTTGTGGTTTGCTATTTCTCAACATTCATTTTATTTATAGTGGATGATATTACTGTATTGTTAATAAGTGTTTTTTATGTCATACAAAAACTGAAGAGATGGTTGTGAAATGTTATTTATTAAAATTAATAGAAGCTGATTAATTCTACAACAAAAATCAGTGAAATACTTTTTTTTTGACATGTGAACACCATCAAATAATTCAATATACCTAATTCTGTCATAAATATTGTTGCATGGAAATATATACAGATTTAAATAAAAAAATAATTTTTTCAAAAACTTTATTAGAAAATAAAATGTATATCTATAGAGAGTAAAACAAAAAAGAAATCACTCAAAAGGTTCCCCTTTTTCCTTGACATAGGCATTTAATCTCCTTATGTCAAGATGCTAAACCAAATTAGCAGTCATCAATATCAATAGCAGCATGCAGCACTTCTTGAGGAAATCGCTCAACTGCTTGGACCAGAGATTGTTTGAGGCTTTCCAAGTTAGGCTGTGCTCTGTGGCAAGCCCTCTCCAGTTCAGAACAAAGCCGATAATCTAGTGGGTTGAGATCAGGACTTCTTGAGGGCCAATCCGAGGCAGAGATGAACTCTAGAATGTTCTTTTGCGGTCACTACTGAGTTGACCAGGCCTTATGAACTGGAGCGGAATCCTGCTGGAACACCCAATGACTTCCAGCAAACAGAATATCATTTAGAGGCTTGACAACAGGTTCCAAAATATCGTCCTGATAGTTTTAGCGGCTGTTTTAACTCCTTTTCAAAAAAATGGAGCTTTGTGGTGCCATCAAAGCAAACTCCCCACCAATCCATCACTGAGGAAGGGTGATAACCTCTATCCACTCTTCCAATGACTTACTGGGCTTCTTCAGAGCTGTGTGTCTACGTACGATCATTTTGGCAATTAAATTTTTCTTTAATTGTAAACATTTACTCATCACTAAACAAAATCTTTCGATGACTATTGGTGTAACGGCCAAGGAGCACTTTGCATCTATCCACTCTAATTTTTTATAGGGAAGTGGTTACCTGTCATTCTTTGAAATGCAATCATCCTAAGGTCACTTTTTATTATGCGAGACATTAATCTGACAGAGATTGCCATTTCCCAAGACATTAAATGGTTTTTTCGAATGGGATTTCTTCTGATTCGAGCACTGCTCTCACAGTGCGGGGACGGCCGGTCGAGGTCTGTCACATACAGATGGGATCTCACTATATCCATTTATAGTGCGGTATACGGCTGATACCCAAAGGTTTTAAAGTGTTGAAAATCTCTGACCTTCATTTTCCAACTTTGTGTAAGGCGATCACAGCTATTCAGTTTTCTTCATCACCCCACTCCATGTTAACTAAGCAAAAGAAAATACAAACTAATTGCGATTATTATCCTGACATGCAAAACAAAATTATCTGATAGAGGCAAGGATTATCTAAATAATACCCAAGGATGTTGAACACAAAGTTCAACTTTTGTAACAGTATTTATGGTAGAACTAGGTAGGTATATGCGAACACTGAGGCAGCAAAATTATTCCTATTGTCAAAAATAATATAAAACATCAAGCCGTACCATGGTGGAATAAAAACTGTAATGAAGCTGCAAAATCAAAGATAAAAGATCTTGATAGATATCCATAGTTTGCGATCCTAAACTAATTCTTCGTTTCTCGAATCTTTTGCACTTGAAGGCAATGTGTCCAAGCATTTTGATGTTGAACAGTAATCGCTCTTAGCTATACCAATTACATGTAGATATTTGTTAGTTATACAATGATTTAGCCTAAGCCTGGTCAACTTTACTAAGATGGAGCGGTCAAGATGAAATTCAAGAGTCGCAAATCATGGAATCATTGCTATCTTCTGTTGAACTGTATGATGGTCCTGACCCATCAAGGCACATTCCCAGTCGTAGAAATGCTGCCAGTCTTTCATTATTACTTTCCCCTCCCCTACCCCTCTGCACTACTGTTATCAAATCCAGTTAAGAAATCTTAGCATTTATCTGATGCAGTTGGCTTTGATTCGTCGTTTTGTCTGCCTTTTCATTTCCTGATATTCCAACGTGTCCCAACACCTACTGGAAAAAGTAATTAATGCTGGTGTTGTGTATTAGTGACATGATTTTTAAAAAGATGTGTGTTAGTGCTTTATTTTAATAGATTATTTTTAACTGTTAACATGCAGTTGCTGAGTCTGTCAGATTAACAATTTTTTTATTGAAGTATGTCTTTTTGCTTATATTATTATAGCATACAGTTCTGCGCTGAAGATACTGAATTATACTGGTATTGATAAGGAAAATTTCAGGTTCTTTTAGAGATCAAATACAGCTACAGAAGTTCAGTTATTTGTTTTTGATGCGCCAGTATAGACTTAGATAATTAGGGTAATGTTCCATGATTGTGTCCAGTATTAGTTGATTTAAGTAATAGGTAAGTTCTGCTCTACTTAGTAGTTGTGTATTCCAGAGGAGCTATGGAAATGTATAGTGATTTGAGAAGAGACTGTGATTCCTTAATAATAACAGATAGTTGGGGACAGAACAAGTTTCCCCTTCTAATTTCTTTACCTACAGGATGTTTATTGTCGGAATAGAATTTGAGAATGTACTTTTTAGTTATCAATGACCTTCTAATATGTAGCGGCATCTCTCTGGCTGATGCCTGAAGTGCGTTTACAGGAGAAGTTGTAAAAGCACTCAGACATAACCTAATGGCACAGTTTTGTGTTGTATTCAACTTATTAATGAGGAGGGATTTTGTTTGATTTTATATGATACAGCGGTAATCAAAATTAGACCTTACTATTGATTTGTAAAGAGTGAGCATGTTTTGTGGGTGGGAACCACAGGAGACTCCTGCGAAAGATTTTAATATGTTCAAGTTTTGCAGTGACTTTGTATGAATATTTTTTATATGAGTTTTGAAATTTAATTTACTGTCTAATGTTACACCTAAAAAGTGTTCTTCACTAAACATCATCTAAGAAGTGAGCAGTTAGTTTTTAATTTTAGTATTTACTCAATCGAACTTATGAAAAAGTTATTTTGACTTACTTGTGAGACTTTTATTTTCTTTTTGTTTTTAATTTACTGTCGAGACTTGGTACTTTGTTGAATCCACCATCAAATCATCTATTGGGTTCTATGCAGGGATTGAAATTAATTCTTATACCTCCTTATTTATTTTATCTTCTTGGATTTCTTCATTTTTATGATAGATGAAATAAACTTCCTATAATCTTTCTTAAAAATGAAGAAATCTAAGAAGATATAAAAATTAATTTCAATCCCTGCATAGAACCCATTAGATGATTTGATGGTGGATTCATTTTTCTAGCAATAAAGTAGTGGAAATTTACCTGAGTTCGACGAAATTTTCTACTATTCAAAAAAAAAAAAAAAAAAAAAAAAATCTCTGACATTCCCTTGTTTCTTGGGACGTAGACACCCTGAATTGCACATATATGTATTGACTCTATATATATATTGAACATAAAGGTTCCTGGCTATGAGAAAGCCAGTTCTGATATTCGGCTGCATAACTTGGACACTAACCAGCACCATAGCAAGAAATATTACAAGCCTCCTAGCACCAAATTTGATAACCAAAAGATTGAAACTTTTTATTGTTATTTACAAAATATGATTAAAATTATTTATTTATGTTAAGAAGTTATTTTATATAAATGCAATTTTTAATGTTATTAAATTTTAGTAAGAATTCATAAATTTTACCTAACTCTAATGATTTAAATTGTTCCCAACATTTTAATCACAGGTTTTGTAAACTTTGATACTGTGGTTGTTGTAGCTTGAATTTTTTTCAGTTTATTTTGATTATATTCTGTTTTTTACATATTTTAAGTCAAACATTATATAGACATTTAATAACCTTTATTCAGGAGCCATTTCACACCAAGAAGGCAAAGACTGAATTAAAAATTAAAATTTGACTATAGGAAAAATATTCAGAACATCATATTCTTGCAGGTTCAATATTTTTATTGTTTTCTTTATTTCTTGGTTTATTCTATTGTTTATTGTATTCTTATTGAATTATTGCCAATTAGTTGAACTATGAACTAAAGGCTCTTTTTGACGGCAATTCAATTTTATACTTTTGAAATGTAACTTTTCTCCAGAACTTAGAATTTTTATTTGATGTACAAAATTTTTTTTTTTTTCAACAAAAATCCAAGTTTCCACAAAAAAAGTTCGATAAATAGCAATTTTCAATAAATGGAAGTTGGGTATAAAGAGGATCAACAACAAATCTTGATCAATTGAATTATAAATACATTTTGTTTTAATAAATGGGTGGAAAAAAATATATCAAAAAATTCTTCATATTCCAAAACACACTTCCATCTTAAGCAGCTTTATCCTTTAATTATTATTCTCCGCATAATAAAAGAGATAATAGCAAGTATTGGGAACATTATGAAAATAACTAAAAATTTTGAGTGGTAGCCCAGTCAAATTAGCACAAAAAAATGTCGGGTAATTCAAATTTTTTTTTTATATTGTTAGGTACGTGGTGAATATAAAAAATCCAGGTTTCCGCTTAAAAAAGCCTTGTGGATTCGCTGCAGGGCTCCAAAAACCATTGAAATTTGGAACATTTTTTGGTTTAGACTTAATATATCCTTTTTAAAGCAACATTAAAAAAATTGTTATATTCGATCTTAAATAGTTTAAAATTATCAAACAATTTTTACTAAGCCCAACAGGAAGAGAACTATCGAGCTTTCAAAATAGGTAAAGTTTTGAAAATTCACAAAAACATGCATAATTTTTTGTTTATAATTAATTATCTATTTTTATAGGTGACATACCTCAAATTTTTAAATTAAATATTAAAGCACACACAATTTACTATAGCTTTTATAGGAAGAAATTAATGTTTTGAAATTCTAAAAAATCCTTTTAATTTTATTTTTACTGTTTTCCGATTATTTTAATGAAATTAGTCATCAACAATTTTTGTTTTTCTTGTTACTTTTAAATGAACTCTATTTTAACACATTTTTTAATAATTAATATTATCCAAATTAAATACTTTTGTGTCCTTACAGATTGTTATCATCTGTAGACTGTTCGACTGCTTCATAAAAAAAAGATTTTAGACAATTAATTATTGTGTTAATACAATCAAGATAATGTATTAAAAACGTTACTAAAACATTGTAACTGTGCCATTTATGAGTACTATATGATACGGCAGAGGACTCTAGGCGCCTATGCCGATACCGCATTGTACATTACCTCTTCAAATATTTTAAAAAATAATCAGTGTTTTATAAAGAAAAATGTATTCCCCTGATGTTTTATTTCAGAATACTTTTTGTTATTGTTGGCCGTTTATTTACCAACGACGCTCGATTTTCAACTTTAGTTTGAACGACTTGAAAAATCAACGTTACTGATGTTTTTATTGCTAAAACGGATTATTTTTTAATATTTTATTATTCTCTGACCATTCAGCTTTCATAAAAGGTCAATTATGACGAAACTAAGCCAAATGCTAAATCTATGTGACCGAAAAACTAACTCAAGTCAAAGACATCAATCCGCCTTGTTTGGATACCATTCTGGGACAGTTCGGCCACTTTTTCTGTGGGAACATTGGCTTTTTCTTTAATCAATAGTTACAAGAAACACAACTGTATGCACTTTTTTGGGATGTGGGGGGAGGGTGCACAGTAGCAGGGTCTGGCCCACCGTGTTACCGACTACTGTCTATCGATCCTTATCCTTTTATCTTATCACTATCTTCAAGGAAAACCTCCAAATTCTCTGAACGAGGTTCAAAATGGAGTTACAAATTTCTTTTATCTAAAACTGAAAGAGCACTATAGTGAAGAAACCGAAATAGGTAAACTTTGAAAGCTTGATAGTTCGCTTCCTCTACGGTTTAGAACAAAATAACATATAACAAATTTCAGATAATTTTAAGCTGTTTAAAATTGAATATGACCATTTTTAATATGCGTCGCTCTATAAAGCAGATATTTTGTGTAAACCAAAAAAGTTGGAAATTTCAGTGGTTTTGAGAGCACCCCCACAACCCACAAGGCTTTGAAGGGCGGAAACTTGGGAGTTTTGTATTCACTACATACCTAACATTAGAAAAAAATAAATTTGAATTACTCAACCTTTTTTAAGATAACATGTCTGATTTGACTGGGCTATGGATCACCCAATATAACCTAGTGAGCTCCGTAGCACTAAAAAGTATGTTGTCTGTTTACCAAATGTCATCTAAAAGGCTAAGTTTTCCTAGTATACACTAAAATTAAACAAAACAACAGGCCTGTAAGGAAATCCGTAGTTTGCTCTATTGCCAAAGACAAAAAAAAAACAAAAAAAAAAAACAAACTTGTTAAAATATATACTACTTTTCACTGATTTATACAAACTATTAACTTATAAACTGATTCCCAACTTAATTAAAATAGAAATTATTGACAGCTGAGTTAGTAATATATGTAATTAACTTGAAAAATATTTAAACAAAATTTTTTTATTTGAATATCAATTTTATTTTATGAGGGAAAAAAACAATAAAAGAATTATGAAAAATAATGCTTGTTTTTAACACAAGGTCAAGGACAGTCATGTAAAGGCTATAATTGGATTTTCTTATGAGCAAAAGAACTTATTATTCATTTCAAATTTGATGCTTAAAATATGACAATAATTTGTAAAACTGAGAAAAAAAAATCAAAATAATTGAAACATTTTATTCATTCTAGTATTCTAAATTAGGCTTATTTTTTTGTACTTAGGTTGATAAACAGACAAACATACATACTTAATATGTATAAAAACAAACAGCTTGATTTAGCAGATTTAGTAATTAAATGCTTCTCGTAGTATTTTTGTTGGGTTAACAGTGCCAATCATTCAAGTGTATGTAATCAAGTAATAACTAACAAAGAATGATCTGCTATAAGTATGAAATATCAAAAATTACACAATAAAAAAATCAGCTTAACCCTTAAAATATGAACAAAAATGAACTAACCTGAAAATATTGAATAGCAGAAGAATCATCAGTTCTTTCTGAAAATACCGAAGTACCTTTGCCATATTTCACTTCGTTCACAATACTATGGAACTTTTTCATTTCTATAAAAATTATAAAAACATTAGTCATGACTAAAGAAATACTGATAAAAACAAGCACATGTTCACCGTAAATATTTCTTACCATTTTCATCTTTAAACCGTAGTAAGGTACTTTCTCCATCTATAGTAATAATATAACAATCTTTACCAATTCTGGAGCATTCAGAAAATCTATGAATGGGAAATTCAACTAAAACATTGTCTCCAGGCAGGTCAACTAAAACATATCATGACATTGAAAAAAAATACCTACTCTACAGAACTAATAATAACATTTAAATACATATATATTATTGAATGCTTTTTAATTAAGTTGTAATAACTATAATTTTTTAACTGCCTAATGTATGTGTTTATAAATCATTCCATGTTATCAATACAAGTGGTTAAATTAAAGATTCTTAAAAGATCAAATTTGTTAAATATAGTAGTGAATGAATAGATATAAGAAAAAACATAACAAAAGCATTATAAAAACCTTACTTACAAGCCAATGTTTATCAAAATGTTTCATAAGTTCAGAACAAGTTTTAATGTTGTAAATCAAATGTAGTTGAAAATTATAAAGATGAAATGATGAATCAATAAACAGAATATTTCTATTGAGTAAAAAGAACTGATTATGTGTGTAACCAAAACAACAAAGAAGGTTTCATTTTCAAAGGACAGAGATTAACTTTTAAGCTAGAATTTATTGGGGTATTGTTCATTTCAACACAGATAAGAATCAAAATTGGTATTCAATTAAACAATGGACATCAGAAACTCGACACTTTTATCACTATTAAATGAAAATGCTTGTTCATCCGCTTGTTTATAACCAACAACGAACGACCGTATCAAATAACGTAATATGATGACTGATCTGATAACTAGAACCAATCTTACACATTCTTAAGATAAAAATACTATAATTATAGTATAGTAAAGGATAACAAACCTCTTTTTAGTTTTACGCTGAATCCTTGAGGATCGTAGTCTATACATAGTAATACTGCGGTATCAAACTTAGGAATCAATTCACCGTTACGACCAGCTTTAGAAACATATACTGGGCTAAATTGAGGTGCCATGCCTTAATATATTTGAACAGTTACAGATTTATAATAATAGAAAATGGATCAAATGGTTAAACATCTCCACCGCCTAGGGCCACCGCTCTCTCAACACAAGCTTTGTTAAATTCATACCAACCTTGAATGATTGAAAACGGTTTCATTCCTACTAACGATTATTAACTTAAATAAATGTTTTCAAAACAATTTTTTTAGCAAATTTAAGAGGTATAAGTATATGAAATCTGCATAAAGAAATGAAAATTATTTATGTTTAAAGTTTTTTCGCAATTTCGTCTTAACAGAAAACGACTTAAAAAAAATTGATCTAGTTCAGAAATCGATATTATAAAAACAAATTTGCATGACTAAAAAATTTATAATGACATATTTTAATCTTTTGTTTAATAAAAAACAACTACATACTAAAGGATTTTTGTAAGAGACCATGGGGGGGGTCTCACATTTATGTATTTATTTATTTATATAAATAATGAAGTATATGTGTGTTCATGTTTTTCTTCCATAGCAAACCCAATCATCAGCAGTATATTCATAAGAAATATTAAACAGAAAATTGTCAAATGAAACAAAACATAAAGCTTCTATACGTCACAAACTGGGGCTAGCGTAAGAGGCTTGGTCATCGGTCATCATTACATTATTGCTCTAAATTAATCTCGAGCTCTATCAGGTATCTTATGCTAAATAATAAATGTTCTGTGCAAAATAATAATTTCATTCAACTGCTAGTATAAGTATTTCACGCAAAATAAATATTGTAAAAATATTTACGGTAGATACTAAGGGATTGTTCAAAATTCATGTCTTGCAGTTTGTATTGTAAACATTACATTGTTCAGATACTGTATAATTTATTATATATTCAATAACGACACATTATACTATATTAAATTATAAATATAGAAAGTCATATGAAAGTAATAATAAAAAATATTTTTTTATTTCTTTTAACTTAGCTATTAAACTCATGTTATGTTTATGTTACTAACTCATGTTATGTCAGTATAGACAATTAGATGTTATTTAATCAAAAACTGGGTCGTTGGTAAGTCGAATACACAAGTAAAAAAAAATTTAATAAATAAAAAGTAATGGTAGTCACTCAGTATGCGTCAGGTACAATATGTTATACATTTGGGAACACGTAGATAGCTCTCCAAATTTCGGTTGTTTAGGTATTGATAATTATTTAGAGCTTGTAAAATGATGAACAACATACAGTGTCCATCAAAAGTTTTTCATACACGGACTTATAGGAAATAAAAAAATCAATAAAAACCAGATATTGAAACATTTATGAAACTTGTTTTTAAAGTGTAATGTTGACATTTTCCATGAAACGTTTTAGGAAAAAGTTCTAAGGAACATTTTTTGTAATCATGTTTTAGGTTTATGGCAAAAGTTTAACTTTCATTTATTCAAGTTCTTTGAAGCAGTTCCGTTAAATGAAAAATAAGCCGTAATTGTTCTTAAATTAGAATTGTAATTTGTCTAACATGAATTACACATGATTCTAATGTGTCGTTTGAGTAGCTATAAATAAAAGTCATTCTTTCCTACACATTTTTTTTTTATTTTTTAACGCCTAATTATAACTACAGTATCACTCTTATCTATATGCTCCAATTGGTGTGGGGTGTTTGGTTAGAAGAGAGAATGCCCGAAGAGTGGAAAATAACAGAAATATACCCCATTCATAAAAAAGGTGACAAACTATCTTCTGCTAATTATTGAGGGATAGCACTGCTGAATACAGCCTACAAGGTATTCTCTGTATAATTGAACGGACCGCTGATAAAGTTTTCCGAACAGATAGTAGGCGACTATCATTGTGGTTTCAGGCCTGGAAGATCAACCATCGATCAAATATTCTTATTAAGACAAATTCTAGAAAGGGGTTATGAATTTCACGTTGACCTCCATAATTTATTTATCGATTTTAAGCAGGCATACAACAGTATTGATAAAGAAGAATGACTGTAGATAATGCTTGAATTGGGAATTCTCAGGAAGCTCGATATTCTAGTAAAAATGACAATGCATAATAGCAGGATGAAGATAAAAATTCAGATAATGCTATCAGAATAATGTGCAATAAACAGTGGCCTGAGGCAGGGAAACCCACTATCACCTGTCCTTTTCAATTTACCCTTGGAGAAAGTTATTAGGGCAATACGAACCAACCCTAATGGAACAATTTATGATCGGCTCACACAGCACTTGGCATGTGCGAATGATGTGCTCATAATGGCAAGAAACACTGAAGTGCTAGGGAGAGCTTTTTGAATGAGTTTGAAAGGGAAGCAGCAGAAGTGGGCTTTCATGTAAATGAAGGAAAATCAAAATATTTGAAAACTTTCAGACACCAACAACTGAAATACCATAATTTACAGATTGGCGATCATAGTTTTAAAAGTTGCACCTGGGTGCAGTCATTACACAGGACAACAGCATGAAAGAAGAAGTGAATGCCAGGTTGGCGGCAGGTAACAAGTGCCGTTATGCCATGCAAAGAACGTTAAAGTTTAAAGCTCTTTTCGAAAAAGCGAAACTCATGATTCATGAAACCATACTGAGACCCATAGTTACGTAAGGCAGTGAACCCTGAGTATTGACCAGTGGAAGTAAAATGAAACACAATGTCTGGAAAGAAAAATTCTCCGGAGGATATATGGGCCAATGAAAGAGAATGACCCGTGTCGGTTAAGAAACGATTACGAGCTCCGTGAAATATATGGCAAACCAGATTTGGTATCATCAAAACAAGCCCGCCTGAGAGGGATTTGTACACGTAGAAAGGATGCTAGAGAATAGAATTCCAAGACACCTGCTATATGGAAAAATTGTTGGGAAGTGATACAGAGAAAGGGCAAGAATGTGAGGATCGGATGACGTTGAAGAGGATCTCAAGTTGCACGGAGTAAGAAAATGAAGGACGCGAACGAGAGACAGAAATGACTGGCTTGGAGTCTGGAAAAGAAAGAATTTGAATGAGGATCTTCCCTAACCTCTTACCTAGGCATGATGTATATTAGATGGTAAGGGGTTCGGTTGACAGAAGGCGGTGGACGGGAAAGAAAGGAATGTTCAAAGGTTTTATGGGAAGGGTCATAGAGGGCAGAAACACGGAATCTTGTTTTCTGAGGGTGGGCCAAAAGTTTGAATTGTAGAAGACAGTAGATGCAGAAAGGATGCCAGAAGTTAATATTTGGTACATGAATTATCAAAAGAAACATTGTCGACAAAAGGAGGAGAAGAGCCACTTTAACTCACAATAAAAGTAAATCAAACGAGACTGTTTTGAATTACCCAAGACAAATCTTAGCAATAATCTGTCCTCGAATACTATCGACAGACAACCTCATACCACTGTCCCTTCATTATCGTTAACAAGTTTCTATGTTATTTACTGATACTGTAATTCAATCTACGTGATAATGATCTACATTATAATTTTGTAGATATCCTACGGAGGTTATATGTTTTTTTGTCATTACTTTTTTTAAATTAAATAAACAATCGTATAAATGATTATTTGTCAATTCTCGAGAATTTGCCGGAATCTTCAAATCAAAAACATACGACAGAAAGGAAAAAAGTACCGGCTGATTGGAAAAGTATGCTAATTATGAAGATTTCGAAAAAAAGAGACACATCTGAGTGTACAAACTGGCGTGGGATCGCACTGCTTTCTGCTGCTGTGGAGGCTCGATTAAGAAAAGAGCAGGCAGGTGTTAGGGAGATGCGCAGCTGCAGCGATCTAATAAACACTATGAGAATTATTCTGGAGCAGAGTGTCGAGTGGTAAAGCCTACTATATATGGCGTTCATCGATTTTTACAGCATCATAAGAGCTACGCCTGGAGGTCAACAACGCTGAATCCAGTGGAGCCTAGGAGAGAGACTTGAAGATGTCGACTACGTCCACGATCTATGTCTTCTTGCACAGTCGTTCAGTGATCTACAGGACAAGTTAAATGCATTTAGCCGAATAGCAAATCGAGTTCGACTGCGAATCAACGTCGATAAAACGAAGGAAATGCGAGTAAATGGATGATGTCGGAATCCAATTGTACTGAGTGAAAACATCGTAGAGTGGATGGAATCACTCATCCACTTGTGAAGCATGATCACTAAAGAATGATGCTCGGTGGAAGATGTTAAAAACAGAATAAAAAAAGCTAATGGGGCATTTGTTCAACTTTGATATGGAAGAATAAGATAGTGTCCAATAAAACAAAAATAAGGTTGATTAACACCAACGTAAATCAGTCATGCTCTACCGAAGTGAAACATAGAAGGTGACTGAAACCCTTAGCCGACCCCTTCAGATCTTTATCAATCGCTACTTGCCAGAAATCCTGAGGATTTGGTGGCCTCAGAGGATCTTTAACGAAGAGCTCTGAAGTACTACCGAATATCTCCCGATTTTCCTCGAAATGAAGAAAAAAAATGGAAATGAATTAAGCACATTATGAGGAAGGCAGTGCGATCGAAAAAAAAGCTCTTCAATGGAATTACCACAAGAAGAAGAAGGTCAACAGAAACATGGCGGAGATCTGTGTAAAATGAACTGAGCTGGCAAAACTTGGCCAGAAGCAAAAATGATTGCTACAAAAAGAACGGAATGGAACGCACTTGTAGATGGCCTATGCTTCGCCAGGAGTCAGCGGTTATAATATTAAATAATGAATGATTATTTTTTACCAAAACTAGCCCTTAAGAAACTGTGTTTATTTTTTTCTTGACTGCAAGAGAAGGTGTGAGGATCGGTGCTAGTGGGGTACAGTGAACAAAGTACACCCAAAGTATACGCAAAAAATACCTAAAAGTAATTTAGAGAAGAATAGTTGGGGTGGTCAGTCAAAAAAGAAGGCAAAAATAAATGATAATATTTATTTTTTACATATAGCGACTTTTCGACCTGAAGTTCAGACCTGAACAAAAATAAGGTTGATTATCCTTATTATTGATTATCCTGATTGATCCTTTCATTCCTTTTCTCTGTTTTTAACTCTTTATTATATTATACATTGTCTGTACATCTTGATAGACTTTACAATATCTCAATTTTCCATCTA